GTTGTTGACCAACTAATACCTCTTAGTGCCCCTTGGCCGGGGTTTTCTTTATTGTTTTCTGGGGTGCGGGAAGCGGGGGTACGGTCAGGCTCCGGTCTCCTAGTGCTCCCTGAGGGTGAGTGTGGGGACTGGTCAGTTCGGAGAGCGTGGTGTCACCGGGAAGACCCACTGAGAGCTCTCTGTGTCTACTCTGGTCCAGGAAGTACAGAATCAGAGAAAGATGGGTTTGTATCAGTGAACTGGCAGAAGTTTGGACTGACAGGCTTTTTTTTTAAGATTTATTTTTTATTGAGGTAACATTGGTTTATAACATTATATGTTTCATGTGTACAACCTTATATTTCTACTTCCGTATGCCCCAGTGCGTGCTCACCACCAAAAATTTAGTCTCTGTCTGTCACCATACGTTGATCCCCTTTGCCCATTTCGCCCTCTCCCCACCCCTTCCTTTCTGCTAACCATTGCTCTGTTCTCTGTATCTATGTGTTTTTGTTTGCTTTGGTCTGTTCATTTATTTTTTTCTTTGTTGGTTTGGTGTTTTATATTCCACATATGAGTTGAAATCATACAGTATTTGTCTTTCTACGTCTGACTTATGGCACTTAGCATAATACCCTCAAGGTTCATCCATGTTGTCACAGATGGCAAAGTTGCGTCCTTTTTATGTCTGAATAGTGTTCCATTGTGTGTATATACCGCATCTTCTTCATTCATCCATTAGGCTGTTGTGAATAATACTGTGATGAACATAGGGGTGCATGTAGCTCTTCAAATTAGTATTTTCATATTCTTTGCATAAATTTCTAGAAGTGGGATTGCCAGCTCATATGGTAGTTCTGTTCTTAATTTTTGAGGAATCCCGACACAGTCTTCCATAGTGGCTAAACCAATTTACATTCCCGTGGATTGACAGAATTTTTTTTTTTTTTTTTTTTTTTTTTTTTTGTCCTCGGGCCTCTCACTGTTGTGGCCTCTCCCGTTGCGGAGCACAGGCTCTGGACGTGCAGGCCCAGCGGCCGTGGCTCACGGGCCCAGCCGCTCTGTGGCATGTGGGATCTTCCCGGACCGGGGCATGAACCCGTGTCTCCTGCATCGGCAGGCGGACTCTCAACCACTGTGCCATCAGGGAAACCTGGATTAACAGATTTTAAGAAGACTTTCTAGTAGTATCTATAGAAACAAGAATTTTTCTGGTCAAGTTTCAGAATTATAAGACATTTGATTTTTTAAAATCAAGCATGTTGGGCTTCCCTGGTGGCTCAGTGCTTAAGAATCCGCCTGCCAGTGCAGGGGACATGGGTTCGAGCCCTGGTGCGGGAAGATCCCACATGCCGCAGGGCAACTAAGTCCGTGCGCCACAACTACTGAGCCTGCACTCTGGAGCCCATGAGCCACAACTACTGAGCCCACGCGCTTAGAGCTTGCGTTCTGCAACAAAAGAAGCCACCGCAGTGAGAAGCCCGTGCACCGCAGCGAAGAGTAGCCCCTGCTCGCTGCAGCTAGAGAAAGCCCGCGCGCAGCAGCAGAGACCCAACGCAGCCAAAAATAAATAAATACAATAAATAAATTTAAAAAAAATCAAGCATGTTAAGATTTAATGTAGCGATTTGATGGCCCAGGATGTCTGGTGAATAATTTTTATTTCTCTTTGTTGGTTTGGTTTTTAATTTAGTAAAGAACTGGTTATCTGGATTTAAATGAATGATGCGGCATCTGTAGTCCTGCAGGTTGTGTGGCTGGAAAGGAAGCATCACTGGCTTTGTTCAGAACTGTTTGTAGGTTCGGCGGTCAGGTGAAAGTTGTGGTCAGGGACAGCAGAGATGTAGCTGTAAGTTAGCATTTTCCATCATTGTGCTGAAGTGAGAGATTCTGGAACATGCTTCTTATTAATCGGCTGTGTGACCGTGGGTGAGTCCCATCATCTCTGTAGGCTGGACTTTGGGTGGAGCTTGTGTCCATTTTATCCTCTGCTGTATCCCAGTCCCAGCTCAGGGCCTGGGCACATGACAGTGCCTGCCTAGTAAAAACGTGTTGAATAAACGATTGTAATAGTTTCCTGTGGTCGCTGTGACAAATTACCACAAATCTCGTGGCTGAAAACAGCGCAGATGTGTTCTCTTCGAGTTGTGGAGGTCAGAAGTCTGAAATGAATCTTGCTGGGCTGAAATCGAGGTGTCGGCTGGGCCGTGCTCCTCCTGGGGGGCGCTCTGGGGGAGAATCGTTCCCTGGCCTTTTCCAGCTTCTAGAGGCGGCCTGCGTCCCTCTGCTCGTGGCCCTCTTCCAACTTTAAAGAGCACCCCTCTGGCCTGTGCTACTGTCGTCAACTGCTTAGGGTCTGACCCTCCTGCCTCCCTCCTGTAAGGACCCTTGTGATTACCTTGAGCCCACCCAGATAATCCAGGATAATCTCCCCAGCTCAATATCCTTAATTTAATCACACCTTTGCTTGAGAAGGGGACATATTCACGGGTTCTGGGAATTAGGACATCAACGTTTTTGTTATTCAGCAGGTCACACTAGTTTGTAAAGAGTGCCAGGAGTCCCTCAGTATCCCATTTATAGCCCATGGAGTGGTCTCCTATGGATGAATAAAAGACTCCATCCCTCTGCCGGGGCCCCTCCTTGGACCCCCGCTGGAGCTGTAGGGCCTCTTCAGGGCTGCCCTCTCAGGCTGCCCCATACATTTCCCACCTGGAGACCTTCAAAAGTGCTTAATTAAGGCTTTTCCTTTTAGACCCAGAGTCAGCAAGTTTGCAGGCCACTTGTCCTGTTGCATATTTTTTGTTTCTTTAAAACAAGTATGAAAAATGTAAAAAAAGAAATAATTTTTAGCTTGAGGGCCTTACAAAACAGGCCATTGGCTGGGACCCTGACTGGTGTTTGCCAACCCCTGTTTTAGACTGAGCTGTGCAGGCTGGGGCCATGTGTGGCCGTCAACTTGGTGGCAGTCTCAAGGGCTTTTGTTCATAGTGGAATGTGTGTGTGCCCATGTGTATTGGGAGGGATTCATGTTCCTACCCCAGTGATCTTTTCTGTTGGTTTGATATGACAAGTGTCTAAAATTAAGATCTCATCTAGTCTTAAGGGAGAATTTCAGGTTGTTTTCCATTTGAAAGCCTATTAATTACTGGTCTGACACAGACACGATGCAGTCCCTTTCCTGGAGGAGGGGCTTACAGCCTAGTCTGGGGGAAGCAGCCAGGGGAGGTTATTACTAGTTCTGACTTTGGCAGAAACTCACTGGATCGAACTTCGGGGAGGGAGGTTTAAAGATAAAGGGGTGTGTCCTGGAACCCTTGGCTTCAAAACTCGAATTTGGACACTTTTGGCTGGTTTCCCTCCTTGTCATTGCTGTTCCTTGCTCCTGGTACGTGAGGCAGGCACTGGGGAGGGTGGCTGGCATTGAGTGCTCTGACGTGTAAACTTGGCGAGCACCTGAGCGTTTCTGCTGGTTTGTTTCTTCATGGAGCCCTGTCTCCTGGACACTGCAGCGTGGTTCGCTTCCTGGGGATTGGGTGCTGCACGTGAGCCTCTCCCTTGGCTGGCTGTAGCTGCACCTGGTAGGTGACCCCTGCACATCCTCTGCAGCTCACGACGCTCC